TTTACCAATTTTTTTGTGATAAATGGATAAAGTCATATATATAATTTTTATAACAAAACAATTCTTGTTTTCTTTTGGTATAATTTAAAAGTTATATCAATTTAAGATTAAATTTTTGGACCCAGTACAATCAATTTTGACGGAAAGCGAGTTTATGAAACCTACTAGGGATTGTATGTGAACCAATCATTATAACACTTATAAAAAAATACATATATTAGTTTCATTCTATAATTCATATCTTAATATAAAATTTTCGTGTCGGGGTGATAGACAGAGAACTCCTCCGAAACAGCTGGACCGATTATGATGAAATTTTGTGAACATATTGAGTAGGTCTGAGAATCATCCAACATCTATTTTTCATACCCCTCAATGATTATGTCCTTAGTTTTTTATTGCGGACACATTTTATTGTTTTTATTTTTTTTTAATTTAGCATTAAAGTATACATACAACCCAAAATTTTTACTTTTTTATCACCAAACTCAATTTTTTTATATAGCAAAACAACGTTTGCCAGGTCAGCTAGTGTTTATGTATCTCTGAAAAATGCATACATTTACTAAAGTCCGTTAGACTTAAGCTGAGCTTTGCATTTGTGTGAGTGAAAGTAAAAGTAGAGTAAGACAAAAAACTTTTAGAATTAAATTTTATTATATTTTAAATTGATACATAACATAAGTGCTATAAAATATACAAAACTTGTAAAAGGCCAAATTGAAATATTATGAATATTATGGGAAAAAAAATTATTAATTTAGAAATATTAAAAAATTATAAATTTTTAAAGTTTGAATAGTTTTTTAAAAATTTATATAAATTTTTTGAAAAAACTATACAAATTTTTCTTCACTTCACATTGAATTTTCAACATTTGACGTTGCTATCAGTACAAAAGGGTGAAGTGCGGAAGGTGCGGGGCGGAGTAAAAGCAGAATAAACCGGTTTAAAACTAGCAAAGAACGTTGCATTCAAAAATTTGACATCACACCTACACTATCCGTGTACACTTACACAAATGCAAAGCTCAGCTTAAATCAAACGCACTATACCATAGAACATGGGGATGAAACTATAGATAATACACTATAGAAATTGGATATATTGGATGACATTGACATTAGGACAAATTTTAAATTATTTCAGTTGTTTCCTGTTGTTCTTGTGCTGTACGCTCTTTCTCAAACATTTGACCCGGCTTAATATATCATTGATTCCTATTTTAACGCTTTTGACGATCGACCCCGGCTTTTCTCAATTGGACTTTCTGTGACTACGATCGACCCCGGCTCTTCTTATTTGGATTTTGATTGCAAACTACGAATTTGGATTATCGATAAGTTGAAAAAATGCCACGAAAATCGACTATTAAGTGTTATTTTCGGTGTGCGACTAAAGGCGCGATACTTATTTAGTAAAATCTATAAGAATATTATTTGTCAGATATATATACAGTGAACGGTGAACCCCCGGTAATCCGGCCCCTGTCTTATCCGGCACCCCCTGTAATCCGACATGATCTATTATTTATTATTAATTACATATTTTGTATTCGAAAAAGCTTGATTGAACAAGATACAACTTGTACTCACCATCACTATTGTGCTCGACGCGTAGGGTATTGTTTTGATTCTGATGCTTAGTTGGAATTTGAATCTGTACTTCAGAGTACATATAAGTACATATGTATATATAATATGTAAATAATCTTATCAGTGAATCTGTAATTTGTCGGATTACAAGGTACTCTTTTGTAAAAAAATCCGGACTATAGGGGGTCTTAGGCAGTACTCTATAATCCGACAAATTCGATAGTTCGACACTGCCCTGCAAAGTGTTTGTCGGATTACCGGGGGTCCACTGTATATATACAATCAATTACTACTCTTGTTACATCAATTTTAACCGTAACAGTTTATTGACTTCAAATTAAAATATTTCAGGTCCTTTTCATCATTTTCCTAAACCTGAATATCAAAATTTGGAGAAAATCATTCAATGGAAAAATATTTTAATTGAAGACATGAAACAAAAGGAAGACTCTTACATTTATAACAAAATAAGAATATGTGATTATCATTTTGAACAGTTTTACCGTTGTTCAAGTAAACGACTCACTCAAAATGCTGTACCAACTCTATACTTAAGTAAGTATCTAAAGTAAGCAACTTCCCAAGTAGTTATAGGCACACAATACATACTACTAATATAAAAAAACTATAAATAATCATTTGTATTTTATAACCATAGATAATATTTTACATTATTATCATTTTACTTTAGAAATTGGTGCTCATAAATAAAAATTAAAAACAAAAAAATTTGATTTAATTGAATATAATGAAATAGGTATACAAGTCATCTTAACATTTTTATATACTTACATGTGGTTTGATAGATTTATAATGTGCGGTCTTTATTACCTTTTTTTCCAAATAAAGGAAAGAGCCTACAAACAGTATCACAAAATAACTACTTGTGTCACTTCTTAATATATGTAAAACAAAAACAAAGTGTTCTAAAAATACAGAGATTATAATTTCACTGGATAACTACAAATCAAAAAAAGTTGTTTATAGTATTTTATGTAATATAAGAATGGCAGTGTTTAATTCAGTAAAAATTACAAGTCTATTTACATCCAATCAGAAACTCTAAAAGAAACGAGGAAGGACGATACAATCAAGACAATATGTTATCATTCAATTTTAAGATTTTTCATTTAACTTTTCTTTTAATATATTTATTTGTATTAAAAAAATATTTTATTTAGCAGCATCAACATTTGAGACTGTACACTCATCACATTCTGTTGAAACTGAAAAATGTGTTGATACACAAAAAGAAGACAATGATGCATCTTGTAATCACAACTTTGATTTAAATATGAATCAAGTTCAGCTACAAAGGAGTTCTCCTAATTCCTCTCAATTATTTCCTAAAGGTAAGTTATGGGCATATAACTAAGCTTAAAATTAACTATGTTTGGTATATTTACCTTTAAACTATAAAATAATTTCAACAAAATCAAGAAATTAAAATAGCAAAATGGAGTATTTTGCATATGCTGTTACAGGTTGACGTTGGAGAAAGTGATATATGTTTATTAAATAAATTAACAGAAACACATATATGTATATAAAGATAAACTACCGAAAATGAAAGTGAAATATGCGGCCCAAGTGTTCAGCCCGAGCCCTGAGCTCGAGTATCAGCAGCTATGCGGTTCTTAGCAAGTTAGTATACATTCTTTTCATAGTAGTAGTAAGTTTTCCTTATTATTATGTTGACATAAACTTTCTATGCACTTAACATATTACTAATATAACAGCTTTTTACTCCTGAGGTTGGCTGTAAGAGATCACTATAAGTGATAACACCTCCTTTGCATACTTATGTCTTTTCTTCTGCTTTTATTCATTCTCAAATCTCAACTTTACTTGTATGCAATAAAGAAGTTTATCAATCTATCTATCTAATGATAAGACCTATGTCTAAAAATAATTTTAATATATTTTTTATTTCCAGATCATAATATTTTGCCAAAAGAGTGTGTCGCCACAGCTGACCTGCTGCTTCTTGTAGATAAACTCTTTGACTCATTCAATGGTCATAGTTATCAGGAAGATGCTAAATTATATAGGATTGCATTGAAAACGAATTCTCCACATTTTAAACTGTGGCATGAAACATTATGTGTATTAAACTCAATGAGATTTGAAGTAAATAAAAATGGTATAAAAAAATTTATTGTGGTACCATCCATTAAAAATTGGATACATGACATTCATGCCACAAGGGAGTTATTTTTTGAGTTAAATAAATATCATGGCGTTAGCAGTCTGTTAACAAGAAACTAAAATCAAGATCCCTTAGAGAATTTTTTTTGTAATATTCGAAGTAATGGGATCCGTAATGTATCTCCAACTTGCTCTCAATTTGTTGGAGCATACAAAACTTTACTTGTAAATAATTTAACTTCGCCACATTCCATTAGTGCAAACTGTGAACATGACAATAACAAAATTTTAAAACCTTTAAGTTGCCTTATTAATTCGACATTAGAATTTAGAGATACATTAAATGAAAAAATGAATGTGGATTCTTTACTTAATTTGTTGCAAGATTACTCAATTTAAAATCCAGCAACATAATCAGAATAGAAGCTGAACGCTATGTTGCTGGCTATTTAGTACATAAATGTATTAAAAATGTATGTAAAAATTGTAAAACATATAAAATGCAGTTGTTAAGTACAACACCTCCTGCTAATGATAACTATATTTTATTTAGAGATTACACTAAAAAAATCCTGTAAGTATCCGTCGGAGGGGTTGTGTTAATTTTTAGATGATGTTTGTGCAGTCATACAAACAATTAGGTGAAGAACCACAAACACAAAATATAAAAGGTAAAAATATTCAAAAAGCTGATTTATATTGTGATTTTTCGTTTCTTTCTCGCGAAACTCATAAAAACCTTAAAGGAGTTTTATTCAATCATATCATACATTTAAAAATTCATAGTTGGTGCACCAATGTTAACAGGCTGCTTACGGGAAAGTTTACAAATTGTCCAAATAATGAGGATAATGTTAAAGTCCAAGCGATTACATATTATAATACTCACAAAAAGAAAAAAATAAATATTTGAATGTATGTTCTGCTTTTAATTTTACTTATTTTTTTAAGTGTGCTAAGTAAATAATGTAAAGAGAGGCAAAACACCAGAAGTTAGATTTTTGAACCTATGCACATTATTTATGCTCATTTTTCCCTATTAAATTCGAATAACATTAAGCGCCATCTACTGGTAGCACGTTCTAGCTATTAAATGCAGCGACATCTAGCCTACATGGTAGTTTTCTAAACTGAAACCCACAGTGGCGCATCTATTTCTAATATAGTGTATTATCTATGCCATAGAAGCTAGTTTGTACTGTCGCCATGACAACGGTGTCATAACAAAGAGGTCACTTCAACTTACAAACTGTTAAAATGACTGAAATCCGAGCATATTTATCAAAAGCGACCGGTTAATATAAATATAGTTGTGATCTAAATATATAATATATGTTCAATATCATACAAAGCTTCGTATATTTTGTTTTACAGAAAACTTCTTCAACGTACCGACCCTGAGGCTTAGCGAGACCAGTGAAGGAGTTCTCATTGATTTCATTCATAATCCACGAGTGTATTTACTCCAAGCATGTGTATCAGAACAAAGAGAAATCATATTATACGCAGATGTAAGTTACTGTTTGTTTTTCTAACCTTTCTTAGACACTACTGTTGGAGCCCATTATTAAGAAAAACGCCTGATAAAAAAACTAGCAATGACGCGAGAACTGGAGACTCGATCAAGAAACCATCAGTGAACGTGCAACATCCAATTTTGTCATCTATACAAAATAAATAGCATTAAGTCAATCTTCGTTTACCTACGCATTCAACTACCATATAAAAACTATTTCCTGTAATAGATTCAAGTGAGTGCGAACAAATCCATAATATTTTACAAGACCAGCGCCGTGGAACTGACTCAGTCAGACGCTGTGAATGACCTTAACATCATCACATTAACCAATAGCGCTGCGGAGTCTCTATACCAAATAATAAGACATGTCTACACGCCGATGCTCACCATCGTAAGTTACACTTCATTTTATTCTTCCTGGCAATTTGCCAGATTTAGCCAGGGTCTGCCTTATATGTTGTAAATAGTTTTACGACCGGCCTGCCTGACATCATCTTTCTTTGGTAATCATCGTAAGTTACACTACGACTGTCAAATATGTCAATGTTCCAAAGATTTTTTTCTCTACCCTCTTGTTTCGTGTTTTTTTTTATTTCTTTGCAGGGTGATGATTTATTTTCTATTAAACTTCAAAAGACTTTACTTGAATTGGAATCGAATCTGAAGCTGGTTACTCACGGCGAGGGTGACGAAAATATTAAAGGTATGGTTCATTTACTTCTTATCTTTATTAAAGTCACGTTTTAAACAGGAGTCGAATGAAATTATGTGTTATTAAATCATACGTTATCACATTTCCTTGTTCTACATGAATTGTATGATGAGCATTATCTTCTAAACCACTTAAATGGCTAACAAATATTAGAAAAGTGTTGAAAGGAAAAGAAAATATATACAGCACTTTTTTTATATTACTATATACGGTTCGATTGTCATTCCACTTGTATAATTGGAAAGTTTATAATTTAAATAAAGTGGTAGAATGTGAAGGCACTATAAAATGTATCTGCACAATCAATAGATTGAATGTTAAAATTTAATATATGATTGATATAAAGTTATTTAAAATGTTCGCGATTACACATATAAATGAAAATGATTTTCGGATTACGTATTTGTTATACATCAAAAATGACTGCCCGGATAGAAGACTTGGCTCTGGAAAGATAGCCGAGGGAAACGGCCTAGTAAGCCCGGTACTTATCCCTCTTAAAGTTCAATAAAGAGAAATACCCCTGGGACAGTCCGTGAGGGTGCGAGAGATCTGTCCACCGGTCATAACAATAATTATCACAATAATTTAGACCGGGTAAAACATGAAGTAGATTTTAATAAAACCCTTTTGAGTATTCAAAAATGATTTTTAAGAAAGACGACGAACGAACAAATTTACGATCATTTGAAAAGTAAATCCATGAAATGATGAGAAGTTTCGTCTCTTGCATTGTGCTTTGAAGTCATCGCAGCGTGACTAAAATAAACATTATAAACGCGTAGTATATCATAAGTTAAGATAAAATATGCTTCTGTTCTGGTCAGGGCAAGCTTTTAATTATTTTGTTCTATCCTTTAACATCAACAAGACGATTTCAGTTTTAAAGTTCCCTCTAAAACACTCTCCGTCTCGTCATGATTTACGTGTTTTAGCAACTTGTTTCTGGTTAATATAATTAATTCATAAATTTTCGGTAGAATTGATGTTTGGTCGTCCTATTCTGTTATTTTACACCAAACAACAAATTTAATAACATACTTATCATCTTAAATAATTATCTTTTTTGTGTAAAAAAGAACGACGCTGTTCAAGTTGCAGATAAAAATGACAGTTATAGCAAATCGTATTGTTTTAAAGAGGTTGCTACTTAAACCGAACTAACTGTAAAATTAATACAATAAAAAACTGTATTACGTGGATGTGATATTTTATTCAAAACATTTTGAGACCTTTTGAAGAAACATATGTATTACTTTGGGAGGAAAGATTTAAATACTTACAAGAAAGGGAATATTAGATAAGAATTATATTTTGGTTCAAAGAGACGTAATGGAAAATGAATAAATGTTATATAAAACTTATATATATATGTATAGCCGAAACGTCGGGAGTATGTGGTTTATGGCCAAAAATAAAAAACCGCGTAGTAAATCCGAAAATATTAATTTCATTTAGGTAAATGAGTACTCCCGAAAATCTTAGATCTCATCACTTGTACAAATTTTTCTGTGTTTAGTTATTTTATCGGTTGAGGATGAAGTTGGTTACTGGAAGGCCTTCGGAGAGAAGAGGGACATTAAGAAGAGTGAGAGGGAAGCAGCCTCCGCCTTCTGTGTGCTGTTCGAAGACATCTGTGAAGAAATCAGGTTAGACATTTAATATTAACTCAACCTATAGGAAGTAGCATTGTTTAAATATGTTCATTTAGGTCTTATACTGTCTAAGTTATAATGTCAGCGTATCATTAACCATGATCATAATCATCATCAGCCTATCAGAGCCCACTGTTGAGCAGAGCCCTCTTCTCACATGGAGAAGGTTCGAGCATTAAATACCACGCTTGCTCAAGACGGCTCAAACTTATAATTTGAAATTAAAAGTCCAGGTTTCCTCACGATGTTTTTTTTCACAGTCTATCAGTGGTATCTAAATACTCTTAGAAAGTGCATATGACTCGGAAAAATCACATTGGTACTTGCCAGGTTTCGAACCAGCGCCCTCATGCCTGAGAGACGTCTTTTGACCAGGTTCATCCATATTTGCAGATGTCTGCCGTCCATCAGTCTGCAGGAGGTTCGGGACTCAGCTGAGAACATCGGAGGTATCCTGGACGACGTGTGGCGCTACACCTCCACGCCCTACTCTCAAGACAGGATGGCGCATATGTTTGATATCATCGGTCTGTATCATAATATTTTTGGGTCTTTAATTGAAAAAGAGAATATTCTTAGATTTTTTCGTCTTTAATGACTTATTTATTTATATATTAATGTACCTATGTACGTATAAAAATAAACAAAACCCTCAATGTACTTTATGTGTAAGCTTCATCAGTATAGGGCTGTAGTTCATTGTAATCCTCTTGTCAAAACTTTTCAATTTCAGTTGTTTTTTTAATTCTCAATGTCCCACCGACTAGAACATTTTTTCTGTACGTTTATAATTATTTATCTAAATTATATAATTAATTATAATAACCTCAAACGCCTTTGTTTACAATAAAGTTATAGGAATAATATGGGACATAACTCTACTATATCACAAATTAGACTATACCAAGAATTTTTGTATTCTCCAAAATGGAGGCGGTTTTGAAAGCGGTTAAATATTTCTATATTTAAATTATCTGGTTATATTAATATTATAAAGCTGAAGAGATTGTTTGTTTGTTTGTTTGTTTGTTTGAAAGCGCTAATCTCCGAAACTACTGGTTCGAATTGAATAATTCTTTTTGTGTTGGATAGTCCAATTATCGAAGAAGGCTGTAGGCTATATAACATCACGCTACGACCAATAGGAGCAAAGATATAGTGGTAAATGTGTAAAAACGGGAGAAATTATTTCATCTTTGAAGCCTTCCGTTGCGTGCGCCGTGAAAACGGTTCAAGATACACAAAAATTATGTATTAAAGAATAATAGCTCTTTTAATGATCTAAAAAACAGTCCACGACAGTATATGTCTATCTTTTAAGATCAACTCACAAAAACCGCTTTTATGGTACCTAATTTGGTAGAAATAATTTGTTTAAGTTGTATCAACATAATAATATTAATCTTTATTCAAATAAACAAATAGATATGTTGTTGGTTAAGAGTACTTTATTGTGAATTTAAAAAAAACATAGGTTTTATCCTGAAAACTCTACGGGAACTCGACCATTCCGAAAACCCCGCAAGAACGGGAACTATGTGGGAAGAACCAAAAATCTGCCGGAAATCACTATTCCATGCGGACGAAGTCGCGGCAAAAGCTAGTCTGGTTATATTTAGGAAACATTAAATTAACTTTTTCGAGTTGCATGACTGTTGTATGACATAGTTTAAGACTTGCTTCTCTATGAGTTTGTCCCTACTCATGAGGTCCTCACAAGTGCCAAAAGGTTTTGTTGCTTATGATTTTTGTAGAATATACCTACCAAGGATACTAAAGCTTACAACTGAAAAACATGTACATAGTTTTTCTTTTAACAAAATGATATATTCTTGTAGGGCACGTGATCTGCTCGGTGATTCAGCAGGCCGTCTCCAGAACAGATTTGTGGCGGGTCCACTATGGCATGAAGGATAATGAGATTCTTCATCAACTGACAGAAGCTCTGACCGCCGTGAAGGTGTGGGTCAGTACGTGTAAGACTCTCACGGACACCTACTGGCCGAACTACTCGCTCCATGAATGGAAAGGGAAACCTTACGTGCCCGTGTTCTGTCAGAATTTTCAGAAGAGACTTGAAGAAGTGAGATTTAGTTCGGTTATATCGCGTTTCCAAGAGAACCTTTGAAAAGACTGGGATAAAAACTATCCTATATTCTTTCTCAAGGTCAACTCTACTTCTGTACCAAATTTCATTAAAATCAGTTCAGTGTTTTAGGCGTGAAAGCGTAACAGACTGACAGACAGAGTTACTTTCACATTTATAATATTAGTAGGGATAATTTTGCATAGCTTTAGCGAACTTTCCTCTAAAACTCTGTAGCGGATCATAATAATATAGATTATTTGGATTTAATATACATATAACACATTTTGTTGTTTCAATAATGACATGTGTTAATGATAATCACATCTTAAATGTAAAACATAATATTTTATTATTATAACGGTTGTCCATGTCCAGGAATTATCTCATATTAATGAAACTAATATTTTTCGGATTACAACTCGTATTTTATTATTTTAAAAACTAAATACTACCGATGTTTCGATTGATTTACTACAATTATTATATGTATTTTGCATGCTGTGATAGCCTATAATTAAAAGGACATTTTGGTTATTATTGATAGTTTGTTAATGTAATGAATGTGTTAATGTTTTCTTTTGTTGGCTATCCAAATAAAAAAAAAAAAAAAAAAAAAAAAAAATTACTTTTCAGCAACCGTGATCACGGGCAGACGAGATGTGAATTCACTCGCGTAGTGATCCGAAAATATTAGTTTCATTTAAATGAATACTCGCGAAAGTGTTAGATCTAACAATCTTTTATAGATATATTTAACTAAAATCGATTTTTAATATGTTCAAAGAATTAAAGTCATCGACATTTTGAATATTTCTTTTGCAAATAAAATGCTCTGTGTTTGTACACTTCACATATGTATATAGCTTTTAGGAGTATTATTTTTCGTGTTTTGTTTTAGATACACAGTATTAGGTCCACATTTAACCAACTCAGTAAACTCTTGACGAAATCTGAGAGGACCGAATTAAATAGCGACCAGCTGTTGGAGCCCTTCCAGAGTAAGTGCTCTGATATATGTATATATTGTTTTCTTGTGTTTTTGCTTGTCCAATGTCTCAATAACTATTGACATAAAATAATTTTCAGATATAAATGTATGGATATACAATGGCCACAATCAAATGTGGGAGAATGCAGTATCAAGATTTTCGTCAAGCATCCGTCCGGCTGAAGCGAAGATAGCCGAGAAACTCAAACCTCGGCTACAGAACTTGTCCACCAAGCAGGTTAGACTATATGTGTTCAGAAATAGGAAGTCTGGAGTCATTAGAGATACTCCACTTAAATGAAAATATTTCATGTTTATCCACTTATCAGTTTCTTGTAGAAGAGATAGTCCACTTCTCATGGGTTTTTGAGCTGTAGTGTCTTTTCTTACATGTTTTCCTAAAGCTAAATAAAGTGTATTAAATAAAATATCTTGCATTTGTACTCGTCACAAACCAAGTGAACTATGTTTGATATATAATTAAGGGTATGAAGTTTAATTTGTTACCAACGGCTTTCAGTCTCTGTACGAGTTCTCAAGATACCGCACCTTGCTCAGTCGACCGCTGGTGCAGCAGGCTCTGACTAGAGAGCTGGAACTGTTCCTATCGTCGCTACTGACGATGATGAAGGACGTTAAAACACACTTGGAGGAAGACCTGCCGGGGCTGTACCGCCCGCCTGAGATGACTGACCTGGTCGTGAAGGTGCAGTGGGCGAGGCAGATGGAGGACAAGGTGTGACAACATGTCTCAATAATACTAACGTTGCATAAACTGTACTATAAAAATATTTCATATTATTTTATTTATTTTATTTTATATATTTGAAACACCATCGGTATATTCACAATAACACTTATGTAATAACAGTACACGGCCCAGTGCAGTGTGATACTCCACTACAGGCATTTACAGCACTGTTAAATTAAAAACAAAATAATACACTCTTAAGTAATATTAAAAACTTAAATACTATTAAAAACTTATATAATATTAAAAACTTAAGCTAGAAGAAACATAAACTAATAAGGTTTAAGGCCATAAATACAATACAGGCAATAAAAACAAAATAAATAATTATAAGCCAATAAAATTAAATTTAATTGGTTAATAGATTTACCACTGACAATACAAAAAATTAACTCAGACTTAAAAAAGATCTTAAGTTGGAGCAATTCATTCGGTCTCAAAATAAATCCACTTAAGTGTCAATCTATTATTATTGGCAGTCCAATATTAATTTCACGAATAGATTTTTCTCTTTTATCACCTATATTATTTGACAATGCCATAATTCCATACAGCGATAAAATTAAAAATCTGGGTATAATATTCGACAAAACCCTTTCTTGGAATCCACAAATTAGTGAGGTAAGCAGAAAAATGTTTGTTGCTGTTGGTTCCCTACGTAGATTACGTAACCTCTTACCGATTCCCACCAAAATTGCGTTAGCACAATCTATCCTTTTACCAATTCTTGATTATGCAGATTGTTGTTATCTTGATCTTAGAGAAGATCAATTGAACAAACTTGAGCGCATTCAAAATCTTTGCATCAGGTTCATATTTGGGCTTCGCAAGTATGACCACATTTCCGATTTTCGCAAAAAGCTCGAGTGGCTCCCGATCCGCCTTCGCAGGAATACACACATTCTCTCTCTTCTCTACTGTATACTTTTCAACCCCAATGCCCCTATTTACCTAAAACAGTCCTTCCAATTCCTTAGTGATTCCCATTTCCGCAGTCTTCGCTCTGAACAAAACCTCACACTTAAAACTCCTTCCCATACTTCTTCCTTCTTTACTAAATCCTTCTCTGTCCAAGCAGTACGCTTGTGGAACTCCTTGCCCATAGAAATTAGACGTGCACAATCCGTTTCTGTTTTTAAGAGGCTTTTAAAAGACTATTATGTGTCATTGTAAATCGTTGTATTTTTTTATATAAGTATGTATTTATATGTATTTGAATTTATTTATAAAACATATGTGTTATTTTATTTATACACGTATTTATACAGGGTGACTGGTGAATTACTATCGATACTTGAGGACGTGATATTTGACGATCATATATGACAAAATAAAAATTAATATAACATAAATATTAATAAACTTCTAAGTAAAGTTAACCAAAAGTTATGTAATTAATTACGCATCGTGTGAACACCCTACAGATTAGGTATACACACACACTCACACATACGCGTGAGGGGGCGTGGTGTTGTATCAGCACGCCGCCGCACGCGTCCACACTTGGAACACTTGGAACGTGTCAACACTTTTTTTACTTATACGGAAATTTTGTCAAAAATTAAGTGCCTATTTTTTTTTTACATAATTCGAATGAGAATCATGTACCGAGTATTCTCCTTAAATATTGATGGTAATTCACCAGTCACCCTGTATATTATATATATAATGTATTAATCGTATGTATGTATGTTATGTAAATATGTTATGTATGTGTATGTATGGTTTATTTGAAAGTGTACACCTCCGAACCCCTTTCTTTTATTCAATGTCCTATATCCAAAGGTTGTCTGGAAGAGATCGCTCTTTTAGCGATAAGACCGCCTTTTGTACCATGTTTCTTTTTTTGTTATGTTGCTTCTTGTTTTTCTTCTGTTTTGGTGTACAATAAAGTATATATTTATCTTATAATTATTTATATTAGACTACAGACAGTTATAATTTTTACATGGAGGTGAAAGAAATAGAATCGTGCGTCGGAACCGATCTCAGGAATTTGGAGGGAAGTGATGAAGTGCTTCAGTTAGCCAGCAAAGTGCAGAACGATCTGAAGAATACGTACAAGCAGCTATACGAGGAGTGGTCTAGAGACGTGCAGGTAAATAGGATAAGGATACTAATGTGATGTTTAATTTTATAGTATCTCATGGTACAGTCTGTGATTGCAGGCGCAGTTGAGGGCTGGGTCTCTTCAGCTGTCAGAGCGGCCCGTGGTGGAATTCTCTAGTGCTGATCGCCTCATGGTCGTCAATTATCCCGAGGGACTGGAGCGCGTGGAACGAGAGGCGCGCGCACTGCTGGCGGCCGGACTGCCGCCTCCTCCTGGCGCTCTCACAGGACTCACGGCTTCCTTACGATATGCAAGAGCCCTTCATCAAGTGGCGTCATTCCACAACACGCTGGGTGAACGCGCCGTGAGCTCAACACGGCCCATGTTGTTACGCGCAGCCCTTCAGCTGGCAAATCTGGTTGCAGACAACCGCCCCCCATCGTGGAGCGACGAGCGAGCCCTACATGAATACACACAGCAACTTAAAGAAAAAGTCATGGAGCTTGAGAAACAGGTGATAAGATTACGAAAATGTTTTAACAAAACAATCTTAGTTGATAGGGATCAATCCTGTTAATTGACATAACTATGATAATTCTATATATAAGTTATAAAATATATAGTCACATCTACTCACCTTACAGTGCTTGTTCCATTAGCAAAGGTGGAGTATTGATTAGACCTGGCTAAACTAGTTAGTGAAGAGAATTTAACTTCTAATTGATTGTTATGATATTTGTTAAACGGTAGGTAATACAGTAGGGAGTAATAATTTGGATCAACTTGGTGCACGTCCCGACATGCTTGCGACTTTCTGAAATGATATGTTCATTGTAATTAAAATGCCTACGATAAATACAAATTCTCAAAAGTAATATTATTACTATTGAGATTATATTAAAAAACAATATAAATTAGAATAGCATTTTAATTAGTATATATTATTCACGTAGTTTATTTTTAGTTTTTATTTTTTCTCCTCATTGAAGAATGATGTATTTTTTTACACGATATAATAATTTAGGCCATTGTCAATGTCGTTCGCTCGACGTACAAAAATAAGGTGATCACTGAAAATCAGCGCTGTTGTTCCTGGCCATTTCACATTATAATATTATCTTAAGTAAATAAAAAGAAATTTTTATTTATTTAAACCTCATTTTTTTTTATTATTATTATTTTTTCTCCGTGTGAGGAATTCCTAAAACGACAGCATATGCTGAGTGATTCTCCTTTTGTGACATCATACTGCTGTGTAGGCAGCATTTTGTTTAGATTTATTTATACCTTCTATTCTGTAATCTTCATTAGATATTATTTAATTGTATTGTTATTTTATGTTTTTGTTTTTTATTTCTGTTTATGTTAATGCTGTCTCGCAAAGATGTTCACAAATAAAACATTTTCTTTCTTTCTGTCTAATTGTCTTTCTCTATTCCAGAATAATTATCTCACAAGTCAACATTTAAAAATCCGAAGTATTGTAGAGAAGCTGATGGACACAGAGCTCCTCGCGAGACTCGCTGACTGGAAGAAAGGCATCAAAGATATCAGGGATATTATTGAGAAGGTGAGTCCAGGTTTAGAGTCTCGGTACCTCGAAACTCAACGTAAGAAATTTTTGGTAAATATTTCAGGTGGAAGCCAATGGGTACGAGAATACAGAAATGTGGCGCTCCCACTGGGACCTGCAGCTGTACAAAGCCATGGAGTGTCAGTACATGAAGGCGCTGCTGTCACTACATTCTCACTTTCCGGCCCTCAGGGTCGATCTAGTCCTACGGTCAGTAATTTACATCTAAATGTTAGTGAATATAATAAACTGTCACAAGCATTATCTCATGCTTTGTCTCAATTTGTTGTCCTAAATCACAGGTCGGCATGGTATGTAATTTTCTTTCATATACTTCTATCAGCCGACATATTTGACCTCATGCCCTTCTTATTCATATAATTTCTCACACAATAGATCCACACTTTTCTTTGTATTCCTATTGTCTCCATCAGCACTAATTCTCATTACTTATTTCTTTACGTAGCCTTCACTATTCATTAGACATCGATTTTTCACGCCCACCACTTGCTTTTTAATTTCCCTGTCACCGGTTGACTTTCAAACTTCTATCTTATATAATATGCAATTGAATAATATCTTAATAAATATTTTATGATAAAATAAAATAAAATTTATGATACACGGTAAAATTCGATCAACCATTGACAAATTTTTACCGTTTATAAGTTTTACGGTTCTACTGTACCATTGAATTATGCCTATCAGTGGGAACTGAATTAACTATATAAATGTATATGGTGCAGGAGTGGCCGCGTGCGCTCTCAACCTTCCGAGGAGGAGCTTCGTGCCCGTCTGTACTCGTTGCTGAGGCGCCTAGTAACTTTACCGGCAGCCCTGCCCGGCCTCGCCAGCACCACGGACACAGATACCAACACGACTAGTGTATTCTCGAGCATCGTTGAAAAGTATGAACCAGTTACTACATAACAATTTTTTAAAATTTTGAATCAGTGATCATTGTTCCGTCTTTTCAGACACAGTTGGCTCGGGAACAAAGCAGTTTCCCAACTGGAGGGCACTCTGGCAAACCTGGAGCGAACCTGCGAGCGATGGACGAGGCGGGCGGCGCTGGGCTGTGTGAGGCTGAAGGACCTGTGCGACCAGCTCACCTCGCCTGAACACTGGGAGGTCAACTTCAGGGCGTGCAAGGCGTACGGACAGACGGTCGCCAAGATGACATTGTAACTACGTCTCTAAAAGTACTCTTAACTTCTCGATGGTCATTATAATTCATACTGTTCTAAAAATATAAATTGTTTTCTATAGCGAAGACGAGAAAATAGAATGGATCACGGTAGGTACTGTAACGCTTCGTCGTGAGTTTGAGGCCCAAGCGAGGAATCTGTGGGCCTGTTTGATGACGTCACTGACCACCAGCTGCCGGGCTGACTCTACTGCGCTTGATTCTTTCATGACCGCAGCCGCCGTTATGTTGGAGGATAAGACACTGCCCAAAAATACTAAAGAACTGGCCGAAATCAGCGCTAAGCAACAAGCATTGCAAATGAAAATGCCCGAGGTAAATTTCCAATAGTACATCCTATTTTAGGGCATGCATGAGTTATGTGGTTTTATTTCCCTGTAGACTTGTAACCCTTTTCTTCGTGATTGAGTAAGAGGTCTTTAAAATGATTGTGTTTTCTATTGAAATAAAATTTAACCAGATGGAGAAAATGGTAGAGGATTTGAAACGTAAAAGCTACCTGGCGAGGACCTGGGGCGGAGACACGACTCTGGATGGAGTGACGCGCGAGTGGAACAAACTGAAGGAGACGATGACGGCTCAGCAGGCGATGTTCGAACACCAGGTGACTGACGACCTCCATTATTTGTGGCGAACGACACAACTCGGATGTCTATAACATAATAATATTGAATTATAGGCAGAAATAGTGAAGACGACTTTGACCGGTGACTGTGAGAACCTTCGTTCGTCCCTGGAGGCGTGGTCGAGTCGCTGGTCACGACACGAAGTTCATGACACCACGTATGACGGACTGGTAGCTGCCAGTAACGACGTGAAACATGCGCTGGATGGTTGGAAAACACTCGCAGACCAGTGGGACGAGCTACGGTAAAACTCAACGATTTCTCTAGGATCCATACTAGCTCTGCTGGGATTCAGCTATGGTTACTGACAGACGTTCTAACGTATAAGGTACATTAATGACAATTCATCATTGCAGATCGGAATGTGAGAAGTTCAACATTAACCCGGACATGTCTGAAGCTTGGAAGGAAGCCGAACAATTAAAAACAAACCTCACGACTCTTTGGACTCCCTTCGAACAATATAACGAAGGTAGGAAGAATTTACGGATTTGGCAGTACTCAATTTTATAATAGTAAATAATATTGGTTTGTATGTAGAGTACGAGTCGCTGGCCGGACAGAAGTGGATCGTGTTCCAGAGGAAGCTTCACCAGCTCGATGACTTCGTGTCCAAGTGGGAGGGGGAGTTGGAACCCTTCACCTCCGTCACTTTGATCATTAAGAGAGAACTCGACAAATACTCGGTGAGGCTTACCGACCACTACTGTATAGTGCGTTTGATTTAAGCTGAGCTTTGCATTTGTGTGAGTGTACACGGATAGTGTAGGTGTGATGTTAAATTTTTGAATGCAACGTTTTCTTCTACTTTTGAACTGGTTTATTCTGCTTTTACTCCGCCCCGCACCTTCCGCACTTCACCCTTTGTACTGGTAGCAAAATCACATGTTGTAAAGACAATGTCAGGTGAAGAATTAGTATAGTTTTTTTCAAAATGTTTATTATTTTTTTTCCATAATATTCAAAATATGTCTGGCCTTTTACAAGATTTGTTTATTTTATAGCACTTATTTTATGTATATATTTAAAATATAATAAAATTTAATTCTAAAAGTTTTTTTGTCTAACTCTACTTTTACTTTCACTCACACAAATGCAAAGCTTAGCTTAAGTCTAACGGACTATACTACTATACTATAGAGACTTCCGTAACACATAGTTTATCATGTAATGTAGGAATTAACGGTGGCTTTGAAATATCTGCGTGGATCTGACTTCACGGAGAAACATTGGCGGGATGTGTTCGGTCTGCTGGGGATGGAGTATGTACCGGTGGAGGAGCTCACCCTGGGACGGCTGCTGGCGGCGGGGCAGGACATAAAGAAACATATGAAGACGCTACAGGTAAAGAAAGAAGAAATATAAAGTTAGAACTTGTTAAACACGTCAGACAAACAAAGTGTGGTCCTTTATTCAATTAAAACATCTTTAACCATTGGTACTTTTTGACAAGTGAATATTGATCGAGGACATTGAGATGTTATATATTTCAATTTCATTAGTATTTGCTGACGTAAAACTCGAATGTTTAATATTGAGTGAAGGAGTAACTTGTGTTCTTAGCAAAATAGTGTTGATGGGTATATAAACAAGGTTGCGTTAAACGTTCAACGCTCCTGGGGAGAGGTATTAGAAAGACACGGAGCGAGAGTAAATGGGTGGGACAATTGTGAATTGTAAGCAATGTTTATAAAGTTTGTTTTAAAGAAACAACATAAGTTTACTAAAAATATTATTCTGCGCCTTTCTGTTTCTATTTCCACATTACGAAGTTTCACTCCTTCCGCGCAGAGGGACTCCACGCACTATTTTTTTATTAACTATTATTATTGCAGAAAATAAATTCATCCGCATCTTCGGAGGCTGCCGTCCGAAGCGCCCTGACCGAGTTAGAGTTATGGTACGAGGGCGCGAGACTGACCATAGAGTATTACACCGACAGGGGCAAGAAAGACACACCGCTCGTCAGGGACTACAAGGAAATGATTGAGAAGGTACGTGGAAGAAGGCAGGGAGAAGATAGAGGTGGGATTAAGAATGAAATCGCCTCCTGGCTATTAAATTGTTTATATAATATATGAGACAAATACATATATATATAAAAAAAAACCCGCTGAGTTTCTTTCGCCGGTTCTTCTCAGGTCAGGGTATTTTGTTTTCCGAACCGGTGGTAGTGTCTCAAGAGACCATCAATAAGAAAGTGTAATGCTTCTATATTGAATAAAGTTATTTGAGATTGAGTTTGTTTTGAGATAATATGACTTCGAGTAGAGCATGAGAAGTTATTTATTTTCAGGTGGAGGAGCAGCAGTGGATAGTAGCGGGGCTGGGAGGTCGAGGGCATTCAGCCGGCTGGGAGGGGACCCTGGGAGACGCGAGGGGGCTGCTGGAAGCGGCACGGAAGGCTCAGCGCAGGTAATGACAGTCCTGCATGTATATAGATATGATAACCGACTAGATATTTAATAGTTTAACCGAACTGATTTAGATATCTTGGATATATAATACGGTATTTGTCAAAAAACTTAAACCATTCATGCTAATGAGATCTAACACTTTCGCTAGTATTCAATTGAATGAAACTAATATTTTTCGGATTATACTACACGTATTTTATGAGTGTAAAAACTACATACTACCGATGTTTCATTCATACTGTCCACATTGTACCTAAACAAAAAAACCTTAATTTTATTAAAACACATTCGTCTCTAGAAAATTAAAACAGATAAAATGTTTAATCTCTCTTTTTATTGTACCTATTCCACATTTCTCTTCTCATTTCCTCTATCAAAAGGATTTCTGGTAGAGATCTCTTTTAAGAGATAAGTTATCCTTGTAAATCACATTTCTTTTATAATACTTTAATTGTAACTATCTTTTTTCTTTTTGGTACATAAATAATTAAATAAATAAAATGTGAAATATTCATACCATAAGAACCATAGGTTAATTGTAACATGAAGACAAAATACCAATACCGATAGACCCGGCACTCGCAAGGTGAATACATTGAATGCTAGGAAGTGTCGTCTCATGATCACACTACACACGAAGCGTCTCTACGTCCTTGATCAATAAGTTCTAGAAACTACGTCAAAACTATTATACGAACAGTTTTATGAATGAAAACTAAATATTGACCGTATTTAGTGTGACGTGTAGTATCACACTAGTGACTAGTTACTAGTGGCAAGGATGTAGCTGAATCCTCTAACTATTCTTCGCTGTGTGCAATAACGTGTTAGAGAATATTTGCTCTTTATATACATAATAAGGTTAATTAACTTAAAAGTGTAGCAATGATATTGTTGATATGAACGATCTACTGAGATATGACGTATAATACACGAATAGTTCTTATATATAAATAAATATATAAAATATCTCATTAATAATATACTAAAAGAACTATCTTTATATGCTTATTAACGTCAGATTTCTCTATTATGAATGCCACATAGAATAATTACAATAATTCTTTTCGTAAAGTTCCCGGGATATATAGACAGTATAGTTTTAAATATTCACAAACAAAGCTCTTTATATAGTCAACTAAAATATTTCCTTGAACGTCATTGTCGGTGTTTATGTTCAACATGTGTCTGCCACATGTACATCTATTCGCTGCTTATTCGCTTGGTGTCCTTTTACATTTGCGATCCTAAATAGTTTTGGGTTTCACGCTGTTTTTTTATGTAAAATTATTTTAAACTCATGACAAGGATTTATTGACTAAGTTGCTAAATGTTAGTGTTTAAATGAAACTAAAATTTTTCGAATGTACTACGCGATTTTAATTTTTGATTATTATGTAGTTTACATACTCCCGAAGTTTCGGTTACTTTACAGCAACTGTGATCACGGACAGACGAGATGTTAAATGTTAGTGTCAATTCAAAAACGGTTATGATTTGTAATTTCATTTGTTAGGCCAGTGCAGAAGCTTTTAAAATTAATGAAAAATGAAAATAAATTATAGTAGAATAAAACTCATTAGAAAAGGAGGGGAATATTATAAAAATTAAATGAAAAATAATTTACGGGCGATCTGAGGTCGGGAAGGGTATGGGGATGGGTATTTAAGGGTAAAAAATGGGTTTTCTCGATTTCCGGCAAAACTAAAAGTCCTACGGAAAAATGTTATATGGCAAAGTTGTAAATAATAAAAAGATCTAAAACTTTTGTACCAACATTTTTTTCACATAACCTCAAAATTTATGTGAAAAATTCAAAAACCTAGTTTTTTGGTTTTTTATTTGTATCTCTTCCAAAAAACAATTTTTTGTCACGAAATTTGTTGAAACCTTTTCTTTTGACGTTACATATGCACTGTAATTTATTTGATTAGAAATATTTATTGTTTTAACTTATTTTGAATAATTACCGAAAAATCAGTCTCATTTTCAATGGAAAAATCACCCGTCAAAATATCAGTGTTTTTCAAAAATTTGGTATGTTTTCAATTTGTTAAAATTTCTATTTTCCGATGGTGAGGAAAAAATATATGTCTCTTATCTACAGTACCATTTTTGGATAAAATAATCATGTCTATTTTAATGAAATGACTCTTAATTTATTCAAAATAAGCTAAACCAATAAATATACTAATCAAATAAATTACAGTGTATTTGTAATATCAAAAGAAAAGTTTTTACCAAATTTCGTGACAAAATATTATTTTTTGTAAGAGATAAAATAAAAAACCAAATCTTGGTTTTTCGAATTTTTCCCATAAATTTTGAGGTTATTTGAAAAAATGTTAGTACAAAAGTTTTAGATCTTTTTATTACTTACAACTTTGCCATACAATATTTTTCCATAGGACTTTTAGTTTTGCCGGCAATCGAGAAAACCCATTTTTTACCCTTAAATACCCTTTCCGACCTCAGATCGCCCGTAAATTATTTTTCCTTTAATTTTTTTAATATTATCCTCATTTTCTAATGAGTTTCATTCTACTATAATTTAATTATGTTTTAAAAGCTTTCGGCACTGGTCGAGGTACTAATAGTAAAATTTTGAAATATGTAAACAAATGAATTCTGAAGTAAATAAAAATAGTATTACCAGATAAAAACAAAATATTTGCATCTATGAGGGTTGCCAAATAATATAAATATGGTCGGTCGGAGCAGATATCGGACAAGTTTTTTCTCGTGAATTTTGTGAATATTTTAACTAAGTAAAGAAGTTGTAATCATGTACAAGATGCCACAGGATGAAGCATCTCAGTTATCTCGCCGTCCGGGGTCATTGAACTCGCTTAGTTCCTAGGCGACATCCAAAATTAGCCGATCGCGGTTATTAACATTTCCAAGCAATAACACACTGCTTCTAAAATGTAGGTGAACCAGAGATATTACTTTAATACGGAAGTGTGAACTCATTACCATTTCCAATAGTTAGAATGATGTTTATTTTGTCATATACAATATATTTTCTTCTTCTATGAAACATAATATTTTTTCTTATTCCTTTTATGTATAACTAGCTTCCCGCCCGCAGCTTCGCCCGCTTGGAGTTCGGTTATATCGCGTTTCCAAGAGAACCTTTCAAAAGTCTGGGATAAAAACTATCCTATGTCCTTTCTCAAGGTCAACTCTATCTTTGTACCGAATATGAAAGTGAAAGCGTAATAGACAGACAGACAGACAGAGTTTCGCATTTTTAATATTAGTAGGGATTATTTCTCGTTTGTCCTGATGTTACTCGTTTTTTATTGTATACATCAGGTAATAAATAGTATCTTCCATCAAGTCAGTGTTCCTCTGTGAGCTAAAAGCTTGGATGTTGACTCACCAGCCATCATTCATTAATGATAACCGGTTTCCGTTCTGATTTTTATATAATTTTAATGAACTTTTTTACTACCAACTGATGTGTTTAATGTTTTTACGTTTTTTATGTCTTTAAAACTATGGGAGATTAAATTCGAACCTGTTGTTATATACACACACGCGTCATTCCGATTCAACGCCTATCGTGTATTTTTGGTGAACTTTGACATCAAATATCTTATCACTCCCAAAACGTTCATTCACACATCTTAATCAATGTGATACTTTTTATTCTCAAACAGTAAACACAATTTGCTTATTATAGTTATATTTTATGTAAATGACGTTATTTAGTTTACTAAGCAAGATCATTCAACAGATTTCAATTAAGAATGATGAATGACTTGTCACTTGCATAATCAAATTAATATAATAGGAATGTATTATCAAATCCCTCGATATATTGTTTGATGAGTGTTGACTTTCGGAGAGTATACATTCAGGGCTGGAGCATCGGTACTAGTCCGTTTGACATTGATAAAGGGGTTATCGGTACTTTGTCCAAATTCTAACATTATATTGTCGTGATATCATGAAAAATATTTTGTTATCGGCGGATGTATGAACGGAAGAGAGGCGGCTGCTGAACGGGAGGAGGGAGCGAAGAGCGATGTGTATGATGGAGGGACGAGGAGGGAGGAGGAGGGAGCTGACACCGGGTACAGATGTGTGTTAATAATTTTATACCAAACAGTTACATATAACTAAGAGTATACGACATCATATAGAAAGAAATACAGTCTTTGATACGAGATTACAAGCATTACGAGAGATGCATTCACAACCGCGTTACGACAATCAAAACAAAACAAAACCATGCACTTCCATAGAGACGTATTATTTTTGTTGTTTAGACCCGATTCGGAGAAAGACGGGAACGGGCGCGCGGGCGGAGAGGTCGGCGGCTCGACAGGGACGCATTCAGGGATACCTGACTCGTTCTAAACACATAGATGACTGTGTTGACAAACGAACATTAAAATCTATAGTACTACATAGAACACGTTTAAAAAATTAATACATTAGTTAAACAATACGTGGCTGCGAGTTTCTTTAGTAAGTTATTTAGTTCAAAGACCTGTTTTGCAAAAAGCTTCTCTCTAAATAAAGCGAGATAACCGAGTCCGTCTCTGTGTTCGTGTGAGGCGCGAGAGGCAGGGGACGGGGGAGGCAGGCGCGGGCGGCGCACGGCCAGTGCAGTACAGTGAGTGGCGGCGGCATGGCTGTGCGCGCCGCTTTGTTGGTGATCTGCGCGCTGGTGGCCGGCGGGGCGGCCGTGTACAACAGGGACCGGGACCGGCAGCGCGCGGACCCCCGGCTGCTGGACCGGGCCTGCGAGCTCAGCTCCTGTTACCCGGCCACCGGGAACCTCCTCATCGGCCGCGAGGCTCGACTCTCGGCCTCCTCCACGTGCGGCAGCTCCGGCCGGGAGCGCTACTGCATCGTGTCGCATCTCGAAGAACGGAAGAAATGTTTCTGGTGCGACTCCACCAACAGCACCATGAACAACCCCTCTCTCAACCACAGGATACAGAACATCATATACAAGTACTATCCCGGCACGCGCGTCAAGTCTTGG